AGAATGCAATGCACTCATTCTTACCAGAGTAGAGATCTGAGAATTTGATGAAGTACTTACATCCATGCTGCCTGTCAGAAAAAAAATTAATGGAGCTTTTATTGATTTTAGCCTTTTAAACCACAATTTAAAAAAAAACAAACAACCTAACAGGACTTTATAGAGATAGAAAGAAGCTAAATCTTAGTGTGCAGTTGCAAACACTGATATCAAATAAGAGAGACATGAAAAGAAAGCTTTTTTAAATATTATCATTATTATTTTACAAGCTGGGAACGTGCTCTGTAGTCACACTGTGCTTTGACAGCAGAGTTCACAAGGTGACCACCAGAGGACTCTACAGCTTTTCAAGATGTCAGCAGACGGTAGAACAGGAAGATTGTCCAACTTCCTATATGCAGATAATTAAGGCTTACCCATTACCACGAGACATAGTAATTGGCTGATGACCACAGTAAACGTCTTGAGTCATGGAGAAACATAGTGGCACATTGATTTGGGTCAACACGGTGACTTATATGCACTTAAGAAGGAATGCACAGTAACAATAATTCTCCGTTGTTAAGCTTACAGCTTTTTTCAATGCAGATTGAAACTAACTATACTTTCTATTTGCTTCTTAATGTTTCCTGTTGCTATGAAATAATAATAACATTTCATTTAATCTACAGTCAATAAGTCAGATATGTATAATAGTGCACAAGTTGTCATAAAGTGTAAAATTTTAGACAGGAAGTTAAAAATTTCCTTGATTTGTACCTCCTTCCTGTCCACTCCTGCCACCTTTATCATAACCAATCAACATTAATCAGTCTGAGTTACAGTTAAATATCTTTATTATTAAAATTTGTTGTGTTCCTAAATTTAGAGCACATTTTATGGCCTATTTGTCTTAGAGAAGAAGATTTTGAGCAGCATTTGCAAAACTCTCCCAGGACCCAGACCAGGAAAGAATTTTTCACTTCACCTTTTACCTGTTAGAGTGTGCCATTTCTGATCCATTACATAAAAAGACACTGCAGCAGATAAAAAAAATAAGAATTGAAGTTACCTCAACTTGTCTAGTCCTCAGGTGCACACAGGAGCAGGATGTGCTGTGGTTTAAGGCAAAACGTTGACTTGGAGCACAGAGAAACAGTCTTTTATAGCCTTAAATCCTCTCTTCGTTTGGCCCCTCCTCGTTCTATCACTCCACTTTCAGAATAAAACCCCTCCCTGCGTGTCAAAACTATGTGCGGAAAAAATATATTGCAGCTCAATTACCATTTTACGGGTTTTAATCAATGCCATTTCATTAAACTTAAATTAAAGTGTCAACTAAACTTTAGGGTTAAAAAGTCACAAGCTGTTAAAAGGAAAGGTGTGGTGATCTTAAGATGATGTTAAAACTGCAATTTAACATAAAGCAAAGGGGAATCAGACAAAACTGAATCGTGTCTTAAAGTGTCAGGCATTACAAAACAGTGAAATGTACAGCCTATGACAAATGTTGTGTCCACTTTATTTACTCAAACTAGGTCCAATGGCAGCACAATGGCCTGTTTTTTGCAGTCATGGGACTGTGTAACACACTCATGCCATACCACTGTAGGCAACACAGAACACAATTACAGGGCAAAGAGAAATGAGTCAAAACTTAGTGCTGTTTTTTTGTTCGTCTAGTTGATTCGGACATTTACGACTAAAGTCACAAAGTGCTGCTTCGGTTCGGCCCTCGCATAGTTTGCTGGTTTCAGTTCGGCTTTAACTGAGTGATCCCTTCTTCCAATTTCACATTTTTTTCACATTTACAGTGGACAAACCAACTGTTTGACATCTTTCAGCATTTATAAATATTAAGAGATTTCAGGTTCACACCCAGCTAAATAAATCTCCACTTAATCATCAGCAGCATGACAAATAACACTTGAACATGTGGCTTCACACAATCGCCATAGCTGTCCCCGCAACCTTATTAGATTACCAATCATCTGAGCTGAAAAATGTCAGAAATTGCAGAAACTCTTAGAATGCAGACACGTAAACCTCTGAGATTCTGTGGTTGGGTGTGCCATTTCAAACTCTATCTAGCAATACGCAGTGAAAATGTTTACGTTTCTTTAACTTTGACTGTCAAAAGGTTACGTTTTTGTTTCAGGTAAGTAGCCGAGGTACTTGTGAAATATTAGCAAGTAAAAGGTATTGTTGAAACACGGGCAGTCGGTAACATTAAGTATTATCACAAAGTGTTTCCTTTATGCAGGGAAAGGTTGACCCTCATGCAAATGAGTGCACTCACCACCGCAACGAACTACGTTCAGCTACAGTCCATGTCTTTCACACAGTGCATTATTTGTCTACTGCATTTCTCAGGGCTCGCAGCAGTACTTAAGTGTTTCCTGTGTGCAGGTTATTGCATATTCAACCTGTGTGTGGACTCCAAGGTTAAAAGTTATAATCATAGTTCTTATACTTACTCATTAAACACCAACACCAGGGGTGTCAAACATAAACTGACCCACCTAAGATTCAATCTGGCCAACTGGAGGGCTTACTATGTATAAAAATGCTCAACAATTGCTCTGATTTTTCCATGCAGTGCTCTTTCTGCTGTGAGGGTTACAAAGTGAGACAGTCATGGAATTTGAAAGTATTTTTTAAATTGTGCTTATCCAGATCCAATCAGTCTTATTAATATTTGCATGTACATGAATGCAAACTCAACTTAGAAAAAAAGACTTAATGGTACAAAGACATTGCTGTTAATCATCTGTTTTGCAAACGAATGGTTCATTAAAAGGGAACATGTGCATACTTGTAATAAAGTAAATTAAAGGAATACATCTGAAGGCGCCATTTTTACCTCCACCAAAGGAGGTTATGTTTTTGGTAGTGTTTGCGTGTCAATTTGCCCAACATCCACCAAAAGCCTTATAACTTAGAATCAATGATACTTACGCTAATACACTAATGGTGTGTATTGTTGACATAAGGATTTCAAATATCTTGTCACATTTGACCTTTGATCTCTCCTTCAAGATCAACAGAATGACGTGAAGGTCAAAGTGATAATAAAACTATGTAGAGCTATTTAACATATACCTCTTGCTTGATCATGTATAGGCATATAGGGAATCATATATGGGGATTTTAAATATAATGTTACTTAATTATATTATAATTTTTTTCCAGAAAACTTGCAATCAAACACATTTTTTACTTGATATTTCCTACCCAACATTTACACCAGTTTACTAAACAATGAAACAAATAATACACATGTACTATATCAACATAAATAAAAAAGTAATAAAAAAATAATAATTGTGCTCCAAACTACGTCAATAATATTAATAACAAATAACAAAAGCCTGCTCTTTGTGCTGGTTTTAACCGGACTCCAAACTTCAAAGAGTTTAACACTTTTGACCTACACACTTTAACGCTTTATCTCATGCTTATGCTATATGCTGTTAAAGTGACACGCTAATCTCTGAAATGTTTATGATGTTGTTTGACGAGTTCACATCATAAATTGCATAGAAACAACACTAACTGGCTGATTCTGCATCATTTTGTGTTCTGCCTTCATGCACATGGGCACACGTGTTAACTCGCATTTACAATCATTAATTCTTCATGAGTGTTTGAGAGCAGCCAACCCCAGGAGCCCAGCGGCTCTACAGTGTCACGTTGGACAGTCTGGGGAAGTTGCAGCCTCTGGCAGTGTATGTGTGTGTGGCAGCACTAGAATTTGTTAAATTGAGCATCTGGGCTGATTAAATCCTAATGTCTCGTCATCTCATTTAAGCTGTTACAAGGCAAATTGTGTAGCTCTTTTTTTAAAAATTGATTTTTAATAGTTTCCACAATTAGATAACAAATAGATGAATGTTTGCCATTTGCCCAACGGGATTGTTGCTCAGCTCATTACAACATACAGTGAACAAGGCAAAACATACTGAATAGTAATTTTATAGTTATTAGCATCTTGATTAAATTATATATTTATCACAATTAAATCAAATGCTGACATTTAAAGCAGAAGATGATTTTTGTTAGTAAAATTTAAAGTTCTAGTTTTTACTGGCTGATATTCTTTTCGATGATTCGCTTTTCCTCTGTCAAGCATGACTACCAAACAATGAAAAAAAAGCTCTATATAATTCACACTGTCTGTCTTATGAGTTGGTGGAGACCAAAACAGAAACAATAGTGAACACAAAAGTAGATTTTCTTTTTTTTTATTATTATCTCTTTTATTGGGACAGCTGTTGAACATAACAGTAGTTTGCCTT